TGCATCCCCAGCTCGACTGCATTCCCAGCCCGCCTGCATCCCTATCCCAGCTGCATCGCCATCCCAGCCTGCATCGCCATCCCAACCTGCATCCCCAGCCTGGCGGCATCGCCAGTGCACCTCTATCCCAACTGCATCCCCATCCTGGCTGCATCCCTATCCCAGCTGCATCCCGCGCCCCAGCTGCTTTGCCATCCCAGTTGCACTGCCAGGCCTGAGTGCATTGTCATCCTGGTTACTTTGCCAGCCCTGGCTGCATGACCAACCTTGGCTGTCACCAACCCTCGTTGTGTCACCAGCCCAAGTCACATCATCACCCTGGTCATGTCACCAACCCCAACCATTTGCCACCCCAATCATGCTGTCAGTTGTCTCACATCACTAACCCCAGTTCATTGCCAAGCACACGGCTTTTCCCAAAGCCCCAGTTGCTCGGGTGCCAGCGAGTTGCTCGGGTGCCAGCGAGTGCTCAGTGTTGGGTGCCAGTTGGTGTCACCCACCCATGGGCAAGGATCAGGCAGGATCAGAAGCAAAGTGTATTTATTATTTTGGCAACATGCTGATTCTGAGCTGGTCTTGCTCAGGGTGCCCGGCTCACCACCTGCACGCTGCAGCTGGCAGAGCTGCTGTTGGACGCCATACCTGCTGTGACACCGTCATGCCACCTCTGTGACCACCCTGATAAGGCTGACTCCGCACTTATGTGTGATGCTCTGTCCCAGGTGAGCAGAGGCTATGGCCGCATGCGCTCCACAGCCTCTAAAGTGCCTAAACATGGGTTGCTAGTGGCAAGCGCTTGTGCATACAGTATAATTCACAAGTGGGATACTAATGAGCTGGCAGTGCAGTTAATTATCCACTCTCTAGTGGGAAGTGACAGGCCTCTCTAGTATAACTAATTGTCATTCCCCACAAAAAAAAAAAAAAATCAGTGTGGAAGTGGGTGCCAGCCCATCCACCTGAGCTGTAGGTCTTGCTCCTTTTCATTCCAAACTCAGCTCCAAGTCTTTGCTACCCTGAATGACAGCTTATGGTGGCTACCAGCATGGAGGGAAGCTGGCCCTCATTCCTTTTAGTTCTTTTTAGGTTCCTCAAGGACCTTGTGCCCAGGTAGGATCTTCCCTGCCTTCCTGGCATCTGGAATGGATCTCCCCTGCACTGGCTCCCCCTGATCCTGTGCTCTCCCCAGCAGGATTTCGTTGATGGAGCTGAGTGTCAGGTTGCTGAAGACCATGTTGAGGTGGTCAACACCACGCAGCTCCTTGACATGCACCTTCTGCTTTTGCTGGTCACGCCATCGCTTGCACAACTGTGAACTGCGTGTGTTGACAGTGTCATCCCCGTCACCATAGATCATGTCCACAGGGTCCTCATAAGGGAAGTGCTCATCATATATGTAAGTCTCCACAGTGGGATAGCCTGTGCCATAGAGGCAATATGTGTCCACCCCAGGAGGGGGCAAGTCCTTCAGCAAGTCCTTCATGTCCTCCCACATATACCAGCCATCCTCCAAGTTGACATCGGTGAAGAATTGTTTGTAGTCCTGGTAGGTGTAATTGTAGGAGGGTGTGGAGATAAAAACATGGGTCTTGGGCCAGGCCAGACTTGTTGGGAACATCCAGGGGCTGGTGGTGGTCATGCGCTGCTCTTCACGCAACTTGATGTTGGACATGAGTGGGATGCCCTGATTGTCACCTGCAGGATACACAGGGGCTTGTCAGCAGCAGCACTGAATGGTACCATCACAAATGGGGCTCCTTTTGGGGCTGTGCTGGGACCAGCCCATGCGGCTGTGACTCACATCTGTCTCCTGGCTGGGGTATGGCTCCACCTCAGATCTTCCCCTGCTGACCCCTCTCCTCACCCCTCTGGCTGCAGTTATCCAGAGCAACCTTCCAAACTCTTCTCTGGCATCGCAGCTCTAGCTGCTGGAGTGGCTGAGTGTAGACAAACCTGGACATGTGAGGGCCCTGACCAACCCAGCCCTGAACCTTCCCTGCAACCCCAGCACCTCCACACCTGCCTGCAGGGACAGGAGAGAGCTGAGCCTGATGAGAGTGCTGATAGTAGGTGGCCAGTGGGTGTGTCTCCTGCAAGGCTGGACATTATTGATGTGTCTGGAGTCCTAAGATCACACAACAACCCCCGATTACCTCTGGCCCTTGTGCCAACAGGGAAAAATATGAGGAGGTGACTTAAGGGTGATGCAAGGGGCCAGACTATAAATTTTCAAGCACATGATTTTTAACCCCTTGCATGTTTGAAGGCTCAGCTTGTGATCTGGAGATATTCTGGGCTGTCAGCATTAGGTTAGTGGCTGTGACTTTCTGGGTTGCAAAGAGGCTAAAGAGGAACTGCGTGAAGTGAGATTGAAGCCTGAAGACAGCAAAGTCTATGGGGCATGGACTCCAGGTCCTCTACAGCAGAAGAGATGCAGGGTTTGCAGCAAAGGTCCAGCAACCTCACTGTCCTGCATGGATGGAGGTGGTGCAGGTGCCTGGGGAGGCAGTAGGATTGGGGCAAGCATGCCCTGCTCTGCTGCTCTGGTCCCAAAGTCTGTGGATGGGTGCTTTGGCTTTCCAGGAGCACCCCTAGCCCATGGTGCATGGTGCAGGTTGTGTTGCAGGATGTCTGGCAAAAACTGGTGCAGAAGGAATGGTATGGCCAGGCTGCAGGTGAACCCTTCTGATGGCAGTTTTCCATACACACAAACCCACCACCCCCAGCCATGGAAACAGAGCAAGCTCTGGAGTGAGCCCTGGGCCAGTCTCCTGCTCCTGGGGCTGTGGTAGGAACATCCATGGTGCCTTCTTCATTGCAGGATGCAGCAGCATTGACACCAGAGCACAAGTGCTGCCTCCACAGTCCCTTCAGTCATCTATCCCCACACCTTTTCCACCACTGTGTCCCTTCCCTGCCCACCACCACCCTTCTATTGGTGCAAGAGAGAAAGAAAACCAAGAGGTGGCTGCAAACAAAGAGTCACCCACCAGATGCCAGGACACGGAGGGGCTTGACAGACCCTCCCCATGGGGCTCCCAGGGAGATGAAGCCCCCAATGTACTGGTCTTTCCAGGCTTGTGTCTGCTGCAGCAGGAAGTAGAGGATGTTCAGGTTGCCCATGCTGTGTGCGATGAGGAAGACACGGCGCTGGTACTCATCGTGCATCTCCTCAATGAGTGCCTTCAGGTTCTGGAAGTACTCGGGCTGCTCCTCTGTAGACAAGAGGTACACTAGCTCTTAGCCACCTCGTTTATGGCCACAGGGCTCCAGGGCTGTCCCTAGGAGCCCCGACCAGAGACAGCTGTGGGTGCAGTGGCCATAGGTGCCACCATGCAGTAACATGAGAACACCCACCAGCATGGGCATCCACTACTGCCTAGGGGTTTCCACCCACCCGTGGCTCACCCAGCCCATCACAGCCACCCTGCTTCCTTCCCCAAATCCCAGACTCACGGGGCCCAACCCTCCAGTCGTAAGGAGCTGCCCGAACTGTCTGGTCCCTCACGTAGCCATTGTTCACCAGGTTCTGCACCAGGGTGTGCAGGTAACCTATGGGCAGAGAGAAAGGTGGGAATGAGGTCTGTTCTCTGCTGTTGACTTTTCCCACCCTGGCTGTGGTCACAGCCACAATGTTCTCTGGTAAGACCTGTAGCTTGGTGGCTCCAGCCAGAGGTAGTGGCCCCATGTGCACTGGGGTCAAGGATGCACAGTCCCTGCCAGCACTCGAAGTGAGTGTGTCCCCGAGGCCAGTGTCCCTCACTCCCCTGTGCACCGGGATCTCTCCACTGGCAGAGAGCACATGAGACTCCTGGACACCCTGCAACTCTCCTCCTCTCACCTGCCAGCTTGCTCTGGTCCAAATATTCCACAGAATAGGTCTTGCCGAAGCCAGGCACACGGATGTGCACGCCCGGGGCATTAGACATTTTCCGAGAGGTTCGGTTGTACACCACCCTGTGGGGACAGGGCACAAAGTAGCAGAAGAGCCACATCCCCAAGGGGGCTGGAGCACCTCACATATGAAGACAGGCTGAGAAATTTGGGACTGTTCAGCCTGGAGAAGAGAAGCTGCATGGAGACCTCAGAGCAGCCTTCCAGTATCTGAAGGGGGCCTACAGGGCTGCCAGAGAGAGGCTCTTCATCAGTGACTGCAGCAATAGGACAAGGGGTGATGGATTTAAACTGAAACAGGAGAGATTTAGCTTGGCTATAAGGAAGAAGTTCTTCCCTGTGAGGGTGGTGAGGCCTTGGCACACGTTGCCCAGAGAAGCTGTGGCTGCCCCATCCCTGGCAGTGTTCAAGGCCAGCTTGGACAGGGCTTGGAGCAACCTGGTCTAGTGGAAGGGGTCCCTGCCTGTGGCAGGGGGTTGGAACTGGATGAGCTTTGGGGCTGTTTCAATCCAAACCATTCTATGATTCTGTGATTCTATGACATGGGGCTGGGGTGGTGATCACTGGGCAGCAGCTTGGACCTGGGCAGCTGTTTCCAATCCAGCATCCATGCTGATGGCCTGGCATCTCAGGACAGGAGATTCTGATGAAGCAGACTGCAGCAGACCTCTCACCCTGTGTCCAGGCAGGGTGGCAGCATCTCCAGTGTGGTGGGCATGAGCACATGTCATGGGGAAGGTCCAGGCACTCAGAGCAGGAGCCAGCCAGCTTGTTCCCAAACAATCCCTGGTGTTCCCATGGGTTTCTATGTGTGCTAGGTCATGGCCTGTGGGGGAGGATAGGGGAGGGAGATCCCTGGTAGGTCATTTACTGGGGAGCTCCTACTATGGGGGTGAGCAGTACCTGGTGTTATCGATCCAGCAGTCAACTCCCACTGGCAGGAAGGTGTTGAGGTTGAGCCAGATGGTGAAATAGTCCTCGGTTTTGCGGTAGCACATCCAGTTCACCACATCTGGCTTGTCCAGCTTTGCTTCCAGCTGGTTCCCGAGACATCCGGGCACTGGAGGCACCACAGGGGGAGAGCAGAGACAGCTACAGACCACATCCCCCTCCTCCCTGCCCCCAAGCAGGGTTTCTGTGGGGCTGCATTCCTGGGGATACCTGGGGACCTGCTGGAGCAGCATCCTGGAGAACATCCTGCTTTGCGCAGGAATGAGGGTGCTTGGAACCAAGATGCGGCTTAGCATAGAAACAGTACTAAAAACACATCTTCAGGGACCCCTCGAGCTGCCTTTCCCACAGTGTGACCCCCAGAGCTGCTGTCTTTGGTCCAAATATGCCAGTCCCCACCAGCATGAAGCATCCTGGATTGTTGCCCCTGCCTGGTGCTCCGTGGGGCTGCCCAGCTCTACCACACCTCCAGCACCGTGTCCTGGAGTGGCGGGACAGCTCGGGGTGAACAGAGTCCCCAGGGAGGTGAAAGTCACCCCGGTGCTGGCTCCCGAGGCCCACAAACTGTTTTTCTGAACTTTAAACCCTCCACGCAGGCTGCACAAGGTCTCTGAAGAGGTTCGGTGCCGAGCAGAACTGTATCCAGTGGGAATTAGTGCAAATAGTATGTGCAGTAAACACAGTGTGGCTTCAAGCAAGTTCACAGCCTGATGTCTGTGACCTGTGCTCTCTTGATGGAGGGTGACCATCATCTGGGTGTTTCGTCTGCCTCAGGGAGTTTCCGTGTGGTTCCCAGCAGGGATGGGACATGCATTCCACTGCCACCCTGATATATGTGCCTGTGCTGGGGGCAGACACCATGGAAAGCCTTCCCAGCTGGTGCGCAGGAACCAAGAGCTGGTGCGCAGGAACCAAGAGCTGGCTCTTGGTGCCAGCACTGACCCTGAGGGTGAGGACAACGGTGAAGGGACTGCAAGGGACTGGTGGGCTGGGAGCACTTTGTGGTGGCTCCCATGGTCCCAGCAGGTCTGAGGACTAGCCCGCAATGCATGGCTGGGGATGATGTGGACCTTCATTGCTGCTGCAGGCACTGTCTGCCAGATGTCCCATGTAAGATGCTTCTCCCAAGGACACCACAATCTGCTTCATGGCCTAAAGTCCCTGTAGATGCCTGTCCTGTGCTGCTCTGGGACCCTCATCCACGCTCTTCTGTGGCTTTGGGACCCCACAAGCATGGTGGGGTGGGAGCCATGCTGCCTGGTGTGGGGGCTGAAGGATGCAGGTGAGGAGCAACCCCCATCCGAGCAGGATGGTCCCCAACAGCCTTGAGTGTCCCTCACCCCGAAGTCCATGGGTGCTGGTGTTTTGGGGTGCAAGGGCATCCTGGAGCTCTCCCCCTGTCTCACCCATCATGCCCTGGCACCCACAATGTGGCAGGTTCATGGCCAAGGGGTACAGGCAAATGGCTGCAGGCTCTGAAAGCCTTGTCCCATGTGTAAGGGGAAGGAGATGTAGAATTTGCCTCTCTCAACCTGCTTCACAGGTTCCTCACCTCTGTGTCATGTCCCCAGAAATATGTGGCTGGGGATCAGGCTGTCCAGTGGACTCTAGCATAGGAGAGCCCAGGCAGAGAGCAGGCAGAGGAGACCTCCCTGGCCAGTGAGAAGAGTGGGACCACAGACTGGTCGATGGCTCCCGAGGGTGCACAGCCAGCACCCCCGGCCCTGGCACACAGCCCAAGCTCTGCCTCCCCTTCCAGAGGACATTAGGTAATTATTAAGGGAGTTCCTGTGGGGCAGAGGGGTTATCGGTGATCCCAAGGGCACTGGGGGCTTCTGGGACACCCGATCCAGGGGGATGGGCTACGTATGGATGCTGAGCGGCACATGGGGCAGCCAGACCCCTTTGAGCATGGGACAGGGGCTGAAGGAGGTAGTAGGGGCATGGGGTGATGCTCTGACCATCACAGATCATCCTGAGAAGAGGCCCCTGGTGACGGCCACCTGGGTCTCCACGGCAGAGCAGGACCTGCCCCAGGACATGGGGGCTCCAGGCACTGCTCCCTGCTCTCTGGTGTCTCTGTGAGAGGAGTCTGCAGGGTCAGCCCTCAGCATTGCAGCAGGGCTGTTCTGCTTTTTCTCTTCTCTTTTTAAAGGGGAAACTCGGCTTGATTCAAGAAAAAAAGAGTAAAACCCCCAACTCTGCTCCACAGAGATTTCATGGCAAAACCCCAGCTCTCATCCCCAGTGATGGCACAGGGGACAAAGGAAGGCAGAGCCGTGCAGGACAGAGGGACCAGCTGGTGCTTCTGCTCCTACTCCTCAAGGTGATACCCCATCCTCTCCTTTCACCTCCTGGCTCAACATCCTCTACACCGTCCACCTGGGCAGGGTGGACAGTGGGTGGGATGTGAGATGGATGCCCTTCAGTTAACCATTGCCAGGGGTGGCAGGAGACATGGGATGGGGTGAGATCTGAGGAGCAAGGGGGGGCGGATGCACTGGCAGCAGCAGCTGAGGGAAGCAGCAGATGAGTGTGTGCTGCAGCCTCCATCTCTCTGCTAGTAGAGTCTCCCTAAAAAACCCTTTGGGCCACCCTTGAGATATTAGAGCCCCATTTGCTTTCTGGGGTGCTCAGCTTGTCCCCCCACCTCTGGGCAGGCACAGCCAGCCGTGCATCCCCAGCCCAGTGGACTGGAGGGGACCTGGGAGCCGTGTGTCACCTCTCCTTGACGGTTTCAGCTCCAGGCTGCAAAAGGCCACTTCACCCAAAAGCCACCGAGCAGCTGGCATGCCAATGTCACCACTGGGTCTGGGGGTGCCCACCCATACCCCGTGTGGTGCCCATGCTGGTGTGACCTTACCGAGTACCACGGGTGGTGTGCTGTTGGTCGGAGGAGCTTCTGGGGTGGTGGTGGGTGGAAAGAGGACATTGAAGAGCCAGAACTGGGACGTGGGCTGCAGGAGCAGCGACAGCGTCAGCAGCGCAAGCCTGGTGCTGCTGCTCCCCATGGCCGGGATCCTCCGGACGTCTCCAAGCAAAACAGCCTTTGATATTTTTTACGCAGGTCCAGCCAAGGGCTGCAGGGGAGGGGAGAATTGCAAGGGGCTGGCCGTGATGGGGAGGAGGGACGGGGAGGGACGAAGGACTGGCCTTCGGGACATGCCATGAAGTTCAGTGGTGCCCAGGGGCTCTTCGTGCCCCGAGAGTCCTGCTCGGGGGTACCAGCAGAGCGGGCATGTGGATTTAGCAGCTTCCTGGTGCCTCGGTGTCCCTTTGCTGTGTGCTGGGGTTGTGCACTTCCCCATGCACGGTGCTCCCGGGGTGACTCCACGGGGCTGCCGGCTCCCTGCCCACTCCTGCTCCCTGCCTGCTCCCTGCTTGCTCCTCCTGCTTCCTGCCCGCTCCTCCTGCTCCCTGCCCACTCCTCCTGCTCCTTGCCTGCTCTCTGCCTTCTCCTCCTGCTCCTCCTGCCCTTGGCATGTGGAGCTGATACTGTCACTGGGGCACTGATAGGAGCTTCTGGCAGGTCCCCATCGACCCTGGGGCCCAGTCCAGCGCCACGGGGAGGAAGACATCTCAGGTTCAGTTGTTACTGCAATGCACGGTCACAGTGCCTGCTCTGAAGGTGTCTCTGTGCTATGTTTCGTAGGGAAGTGGTTATGAATCTATGTGAGGATGCAGGAATGTTCTCCATGTGCCCACACAACCCCCACCTGCTACCATGGGAGACTCCATCACCCCAACACAGCCAGTCTCCTTGTGCACCCAAGCCTTGCTGTGCCCAAGGAAAGCCTTAATAACCTCACAGATGAGGCTGAACAAACTGACCATGGAGATGAGGAGGTCAGATCCAGGGTGTGTGGGGTCTTCTTCCTATCTCAATGCTCAGCGTCACCCTTGGGCTGAGCTTGGTGGCACCAGCTAAGTGTGCAGGACTCAAGGGAGGAAGGATCTGTGGATGCATCTTCCTTATGCTCTCCTTGGTGGATAGAAACCTGAGGATCCTCCAGGAGCATGAACAGGAGCAACTAGAAATCTATGATCACCCTGAGTCCTGCCCCGTCCTCTGCCTTTGTCAGGCTCTCTGCCCTCCAGCCCCTCTCCAGGCGACCCCTTGCTTGAGGGGTGTCTACTTATCCCAGGGCTCATTATGGCATAATTTAGCTTTTCTCCTTAAAATCCCTACTCTTGGCTTTCAGTTATGGCAGAGCTGCCTGTGTGGGGTTGGGGCTGTGGGCAGAGGAGGTGGTCTCCATGCTTTGGTTTGCCTTGAGGACCACGTGTAGGGCTGTGTGCTCAGGGAGGTGCTGTGGGATGGGGGAAATTGGGGTTTTTAATTACTAATTTTGAAATGTGTTAGCAGAAAGTCAGCAGAACAGCATGGCCATGTGTCTGACCAAACCTTCCCCCAGTGGACCTGATGCTGCAGTCAAGGTGAAGAGCTGCTTCTTGTTGGAAAGGCCAGAGGAAAACATTTGAGAAGAGGTAAATGGTGCTGAGCCATGGTGGCGGAGCAGAATCCAAGCGCTCATGGGCTTGCCCCAGCCTTCCTACTGTGCCACAGCCTTCCCAGTGTGCTTCAGCGGGGCAATGGGTTGGTCCTGAGCAAAGGATGCTGTGGGGGGAGTTATAGCTCACCTGCAGTGTGGCCTTTTGATCTGGGTGAAAATACTTCCTACCCAGCATCTTCTCTGGAGCTGAGCTCTTGGGCAGAAAGCTGCTGCCTCCCACTTCCTCACACTCTGTGGGGAAGGGATGAAGGCACATAGCCTTTATAGGGAGGCTTTCCTTCCAGCTTGGCCAGGATGGGAACATGGAGCTCCAGCAAAGTAGGTTGGCTTCAGAAAAGCCCTAGTGATGGGAGATGTTTTCTTCCTCCCAGGGGAGATGAGGAGGTGGGTTAGGTCCATGTGGGACTGGAGAGCACTGGTGGGTACTAGACTGGCCCGGTGGGTTCCTGTGGAGCAGAGACGCTCGTCCAGCAGGGCTGGAGAAAAGCAAACCAAAGCCGGGCTGCTGGCAAAGCTGCTGCTGTGACTGGGGCTCGAGCCGCGGTAGCTG